AAAAAAAAAAAAAGGAACTGAACTTGTTATTTATAGCATGGTCTCTGCCATATGCCCCTACTGAGAAATCTAAGGACCATTTCCCATCATCTTGTTGAACCACTCAATTATATTTGACTGTGTTCAGGCTTCATTCCATCACTCCCATGTATGAGGCTATTCTCTCCCAGTTCCTGTATGTTTTATTTATATAACTAACACATATAAGGCTCACCACGTGCCAGGCAATAATTGCTTTATGATTATTAACTCATTTAATCTTCGTCACAATGAAGGTACGTACTATGAGGTAGGTACTTTTATTTATTCCACGTTACTGATAAGAAAACTGAGTCACAGATAGTTTAAGTAACTTGTCCAAGATCACACAACTAGAAGGTGGCAGGAGCCAGGCTTAGAACCAGGTAGTCGGAGTTTATTTCTTAATCACTGCACTATGCTGCCTCTTTTCTCTTTTTCTTTCTTGGTTATATCACATCGTTTCCTTTTTGGTCTCTTCCTCTGCCTATCCCTTAGCTGTTGGCATTCTCTGGGACTCTATCCTTAGCCTTATCTTACTCTATTCTCCCTCCCTGTGAGATTTTATCCTTTTTTTTGTTTGTTTTTTTGTTTTTTTTCGTTAAATTTTTATTTTGTCCATATACAATGTATATGATTATTATGGCCCATCNTTATTGAGGATTTTCGCATCTATATTCATCAAGGATATCGGCCTGTAGTTTTCTTTCTTGGTTATATCACATCGTTTCCTTTTTGGTCTCTTCCTCTGCCTATCCCTTAGCTGTTGGCATTCTCTGGGACTCTATCCTTAGCCTTATCTTACTCTATTCTCCCTCCCTGTGAGATTTTATCCTTTTTTTCTCCTGGCAGCTGGCCAGTGCAGGGATCAAACTCTGGACCTAGGTATTATCAGCACCATACTCTAACCAACTGAGCTAACTGGCCAGCTCAATCTTTAGGTTTTAACGATCACCTTCTCTGTAGGCCCCCCAGTGAGATCTGTAAGCCGGGGTGGGACCATGCTTGCATCGTTCATAGCCATATCCCCAGTGGTCATCACAAAACTTGGCACATACAAGTGCTAACAAAATATCTGTTGTATGAATGAATGACAACTCCTAGCCCTCTATCTCCAGACTGGATCTGAGTTCCAGACCTGAACATTTAACTGTACATTAGACATTAACAAGGATGTTAGCCAAGTAAGGGGAACAGGGGTGTGTAGGATGGAGGCAAAAGCTTATTCCAGGAAGAAGAAATCAAGCCCTGCCAACTCTATTTGCAGAGTTCTTAAGCTCCTTTCTTTTTTCCAATTCCATCCTTTCTCTTACTTGGACCAAAGTCATGGTCTCCCCGATTCTAATCTTGCTCCCCTCCACTCTGTGGCAAAATCTAATCCCATCCTCCCTTGCTGATAATCCTTAGTTGATTTATAAGGCCTTCCTGTCCCATTTCGTGTTTCAGAACGAAGAACGAATTGTAGGCCCATGAAGCCCCCATGCTGTCTCTCTCCTCGGTGCCTTTGCTCTTGGCGTCGGCCACGGTCCGTGGGTTGGAATGCCGTTATCTCTCTTAAAGACACATCTCAGGTGTCTTGCCCTTGGAAAGCCTTCCCTAGCGCTCCCAGGTTGAACCGCCTCCTCCCAGCTTCAGTGCTAGCAAAGGCGGGCCTTAACAATCACGAGTCCACAAAGGCTCTACTTCCGGACCCGTCTGCTTCACCGGCCAGTAAGCCCGGGCGGGCCAGTCCACTCTGGGTCTCACCGCCACCCACCCCATCTCCACGGCAAGTGGCACCAGGAGAGCGCTAGGCCCCGCCCCCTCACCTCATGTGCGCGCCGCCGCCCCGCCCCCCCGGCACTCCCCACGAGGAAATGGTTCAGCCGAAGGGGCGGCACCGAGGCGCCCGGATAGTTCCCATTGGCCAGGGCGGGCCATACCACGGCGGTGGCGGGGGAGCGAGTCGTGGGTAGCTGGCGGCGGGCTCGGAGGCGGTGAGTGCACAGCTTCAGGCCCGGGCTCCCTCCTGCGCTACCCTGTGCCAGGCCACCCGCCGGGATGCAGTGGGCCGTGGGCCGGCGGTGGGCGTGGGTCGCGCTGCTTCTGGCTGCCGCGGCGGTGCTGACCCAGGTCGTCTGGCTCTGGCTGGGTACGCAGAGCTTCGTCTTCCAGCACGAAGAGATCGCGCAGCTGGCGCGGCAGTACGCCGGTGAGCGGGCGGAGGGCGGGGAGGGGAGCGTCCGGCCCAGGAGCCGAGCAGAGCCGGGGGTTCCCAGCTGGCCCTAACTCCGCAGCTCCTCTGCCTCCACCAGGGCTGGACCACGAGCTGGCCTTCTCTCGGCTGATCGTGGAGCTGCGGAGGCTGCACCCAGGCCATGTGCTGCCCGACGAGGAGCTGCAGTGGGTGTTCGTGAACGCGGGCGGCTGGATGGGTGCCATGTGCCTTCTGCACGCCTCGCTGTCCGAGTATGTGCTGCTCTTCGGCACCGCCCTGGGCTCCCGCGGCCACTCGGGTCAGTGCTAGCGGCGGGCCAGACTGGGAGGCTGGGACCCATGCCCTTCTTTCTGATGTCTGGCTGGGCCACGTGATGGTGCAGATACCCTGATAGCCGGTGTCCATTTGATTGTCACTCAGGGCGCTACTGGGCTGAGATCTCGGACACCATCATCTCTGGCACCTTCCACCAGTGGAGAGAAGGCACCACCAAAAGTGAGGTCTTCTACCCAGGTGGGTAAGGAAGCTCTGTCAGAGAAGCGTGTCCCTTCACGCTGGGGTTGCCCACAGTTGGGGGAGGGAGCCATGGCATGGAAAAAGGGTGCGTTGGGGGCCCTCCGCATAGTTCCCTCCCCACCTCCATAAGCCACAGGTGGTTTGTTGGGGCAGAGCCGAGAGACTCTGTTGCTTTCTTTTATCAAAGGGAAACAAAACATAACATGTCTGATTTTTATCTGCCTAGACACCGTTTTACCTAGCCAATATTCCAAAATTTGTTGGAAATCAGACATGCTCTCATACGCCAAAAGACAAGACAGATAGTTGTCTTCCTGTCTTCCTTTTTAAAAAAAAAAAATAATAATAATAATGAAACAAGCTACATAAAAGGTAGAGCTTTGGACTTCCATGTAAGTTTAGAGGTTGAGTGTAAGCGTGGCAGACATTGCAATTGAACAGCTACATTTCTCAGTAAGTCTTGTAACCACCTCTTCCCTTCCCTATCTAACAAGCCCAGCCCAAGTTTAGCTAAATTTCTGCTTGACATGAGTGAGGCTTGGGAATGCAGACTTCCATGACCTCCATACAATGGGCCCATGGCCAGGGGACGTAGTCCCTATGACTTCCCCCAAGAGAGGACATGGGTCTGGTGATGCCACAAAAGAATATTTACGAGTGGCCATCTGGGTCTCTTACCCCTCCAGATGAGAGACCAGGCCAGTGATGTGGGGCTTTTTCCTTTCCAGAAGCTCCCTCTCCATTCTCCATCCGTAGATAGCCCATAGGCCAGGAAATAGGCGGCAATGGAAAGACAGGGCAGAGGTGGGCTCCTTACACGAGTGCTCCCTGTCCCCTAGGGGAGACAGTGGTGCACGGGCCTGGTGAAGCAACGGCTGTGGAGTGGGGGCCAAACACATGGATGGTGGAGTACGGCCGGGGTGTCATCCCATCTACCCTGGCATTCGCACTGGCTGACACTGTCTTCAGCACCCAGGACTTCCTCACCCTCTTCTATACTCTTCGCTCCTATGTCCGGGGCCTTCGGCTTGAGCTCACCACCTACCTCTTCGGCCAGGACCCCTAACCAGCCAGGCCTGAAAGAAGACCTGTGGAAGGACAGGAGCGGGCAGGCCCGCACACATCCACTTGCTGGAGCCCATGTGCATAGACAAGGACATACTCACACCATACAGATACTGAGCTCCTGCTGTGTGAGCAGGGACATATATGCTTATACTTCCAAACACAGAGACTCAGGCCCGCACACATCCACTTGCTGGAGCCCATGTGCATAGACAAGGACATACTCACACCATGCAGATACTGAGCTCCTGCTGTGTGAGCAGGGACATATATGCTTATACTTCCAAACACAGAGACTGTGGGAACAAATGGGACACACATATAGAAACTGAGACCTGTGTGTAAGGCAAGATCATGCACTCACACCCATCCAGAGAGGGAACTCCACATATACCAAGGGGGCCAGTCATGTTCAAACACACACCACAAGCTGGACTCACTAACTCAGGCCTTTCCAGAGCTTCCTGCCTCCACTCAGGGCTCTGGAGTTAAGGATGGGGGTGGGTATTACTCTCTGCCTCAGTCCTACTCCTCAGCCCAGCAGCAGTTTGGGAGGGTGAGGGGCAAAAGGAGCTGCCCTTTGGAAGCCACTTCACCTGCAGCTATGATGCCCTTCCCCTTCAGTTCCCCTGTCCTCACCATATGCCTTATTCCCATTCCACTCCCCTGCTATGCAAGTGCTCCTGTGGCTTATCCCCCACCCCTTCAGCAACCAAGTCATCTGGGAACCAGAGGAATGTGGAGAGTGCTGAAGTCAAAGAGTCTTCCATCCCTAAGAGACCCCCATTCCTCCCTTGGGGTTATGATAGGGAAGCTGGCCTCAGACCAGGGACCACTGAGGAGATGACCTGGAGTGGGGGGCCTGGTTCCAAGGGGTCATCCCTGGCCTACAGAAGGCTTTTTCTGTGCACACACTTACCCCTATCACAATTTCCAGACACTGCCCCTGCTGCATTCTCTGTCCATCAGTCTTTCTGTTAATAAAGATTTGTTGAACAGTTCCATTTCTTTGTGTGTCTGAGCAGCTTCTAACTCCTTGGGGACCTCAGGAGGGCCTCTCCCTTGCATGTGATTCAGTTTGTAAGACAGTGGCTTTGGACAATAGTAGGGACTATATACTTGAGTGTGCCTAAGAATCACCTAGGATACTTGTCGAAGCTACAGATTCCTGGGCTCCCTCCCCAGAGATCAGTTCTTCTGGACTGAGGCCGTGATATCAGCATGTTTAATAAGATCACCTCCAACACAGTTGTGAATGCCACAATTTGAGAAATTCAGTGTTTGGTGAGGCGTGTGTCTTGGCTTTACCTCTGCCTGTGCAATTCTGCAAGTAGTCCTAAGAATCTTGCCCTGGATGGCCACAGGGTGGCGGTGTGCACCCACTTTTGAGCTGAAAGAGAAAATTGCTTTTTTCTGGGCTCCTAGCGTATGGTATCCACCCCCATCCGGAGCAGGAGTTCCTCCCCTCTATGGTCCACTTTTGTGGGGACCCCTGGGGTGAAAAGCAGGCACACTATCTGGCAGTATGGGGGGTAGGCTGGGCCGAGACTGGGGTGAGGCAGAGAAGCCAAAATCTTGCCTACTTCACTTTCACACCCAAGGTGCCAAGCTTGCCTCACCCTCATCCTGGTCCTGCTGAATCGAGTGAGGCCCAGACCCCTTCCACTTCCTGGGACTCCTGGTATATTAAATATAGGAGAAAAACGATTATAAAAATATTTAAGTTTGGCATTTTAATGATCACAAATACGAAAGACTACATGTATTACTTCATTTGGAAACATCAAAAGTCTAAATTTGTGGCTCTGAATGAATGTGAAGCCCAGGCAAGTTGGCCATCCTGACCCCCACCACTACCACTCTGCCAACTGTGACACCCTGGCTGGGGCCTCTCCATTGATCCTGAGTTGCAAATTTATTCCTCCTTGGAGGATTTCTCCCACCCTGTAACCCAGCCTCTAGGTCCAAAGCCCACATCTGTCTGGGATACCCCAGTTCCCCCTGTCATCCCTCCCTCCCTTCCACAAAGGACCAGGCTCCCAGGACCCTCCCCGTCTCCACTGCTAAGTCCAGTGGTCATTTCATAGTTCTTGACTTGCATTTGACAATCTTCAAACACTCTTTTGGCTTCCAGGACACTACTCTCTCCGTTGCCTCCTCTGCTGGATCCTTCTTATCTATTCAACCTCCGACTTCCCAGGACTTAGTCCTCAAATCCATTCTCTGTTTACACTCCCTCCCAAGTGATCTCAACTACTTCATGACTTTAAATGCCATGTATATACAAAGGTACTTCAAAAAGTTCAAGGAAAGATTCGTATTATTTTTCAATTCTACTTTTTCCCCAACTTTTTTTTTTTTTTTTTAAAGATGACCGGTAAGGGGATCTTAACACTTGACTTGGTGTTGTCAGCACCACACTCATCCAGTGAGCAACCGGCCATCCCTATATGAGATCCGAACCCGTGGCCTTGGTGTTATCAGCACCGCACTCTCCCGAGTGAGCCACAGGTCAGCCCTTCACCAACTTTTTGAAGTAGCTTTGTATCTTCTAAATTTTTATCTCCACCTAAATCTCTTCCCTGAGCTCCAGATTTGGATATCTTGCTGCTTCCATCTCTATTCAGTATCTCCATTCAGTTGTCTAATAGGTATCTCAAACTTAAAATGTCCAAAGCAAACTGATTTCTCTCCCAATCCTGCACCACCACCACCTCATAGTCTTTACTATGTTAAGACTAAGTTAAGGGCATCTCCATTTACCCAGTTGCCCAAGTCAAAAACCTTAGCATCATCGTGGACACCTCTCATTCACTCACATCCCACATCCAATCCATCAACAAATCCTCAGTTGTGGTGGTGGTGGTGTTTTTCAGCGGCTGGCCTGTATGGGGATCCGAACGCTTGACCTTGGTGTTATACAAATCCTCAGTTTTATCTTCAAAACATTTCCAGATTCTGGACACTTGCCACCTCCACTGCTACCACCCTGGTCCAAGACACCGTCATCTGTTTCCTGGACTACTGCAATGTCCAGCTAACTGATCTTCATGCTTGCATCCTATATGGAGACATTTCTAATGGCTTTCCATCTCATTTTGTCCTTTTATTCCTTCCAAAGGACTACTCCAAGGCCCATGTTACCTCTAACCAAGCATCCTACCACTCACCTCCTCAGCCACCCTGTTCCAACCCAGTGGCCCCCTTGCTTCTGGCACATCAAGTAAGCGTCTACCGCAGGATATTTGCACCAGCTATTCTGATTGCAATGCTCTTCCCCAGGTATCCACATGGCTCTCTTCCTCCCCCCTTTAATTCCTGCATAGTGAGTCTTTTCCCTAACACTTATGTAATAGCATCCTTTCTGTGGTGTTTAAAATGCCTCCACAAAATTTTTGATACTCCTCCCTTCGAGAGGTGAAGCCTAATTTCCTTCGCCTTGAGTGTAGGCTAGACTTAGTTATGTACTTTAACAAATAATATGTGGCAGAGTGACAGTGTGTGACTTCCAGGACTAGGCCATGAAAAACATTGTTGCCTCTCTAGCCTCTTTTTATTGGCTCACTCTGGGGAAAACCAACTGCCATGTTGGGAGGACACACAAGCAATCCTATGGAGAGACCCACATGGGGAGAAAAAGGCTTCCGCCAGTAGCCACATAAGAGAGCCATCTTGGAAGTGGATTCTCCAGTCCTAGTGGAGACTTCAGATGACTGCAGTCCTGGCCAACATTTTCACTACAATTTCATAAGAGGCAATGATTTGGATCCACCCAGCTAAGCCACTCTCAAATTCCTGACCCACAGAATTGTGAGAAAATAAATGTTTTAAGCTGCTAAGTTTGGGGGTAATTTGTTACACAGTGATAGATAACTAATACACCCTCCCCTTTCTATTCCCCAAACCCAGCTACATTTTCCCCCATGGTGCTTAAAACCATCTGACGCACTATATATTTCTTCCACTAGAATTATACCATTATAATAAGGACTTTGTTTTATGTACTTCTGTGTCCAGCAGTGCCTGGTATAGAGTAGATACTCAATAAATATGAGTTGGATGAATGAAGCATTGGTCTGTGGAGGTCTAGGTCTGCCTGTCTTTGTGAGGTATAGGACCAGACTATGTGTGTGGGTGTCAGAGGCAGCTTTCCTTTTTTCAGATGAAGAGAGAAATAAACCAGGTCCCAGCTAGGTTTAATCCTTCCCCTCAGCCCTTCCCAGTTGTAGTCCTCCTGGCCCAAACTCCAAAGGTGGGTTTACTTTGCTTGATTGATTCTTTCTGGGGGGAGAGTAGCTGCCCAGCCTTTTGCCCCTCTCCTCCCCCAACCTAAACCCCGAAAAACAATCTCCAAACCCTCAGAACTGGAATTTCCCCAAGCTAGTTTTTATCTTTCCAGGAGGATTCTTACCAGCGGGGGACCCCGCGGGGGAACCGAGCAGAGTCAGGGGCGGCCCGTGAGGCGGGCAGAGCAGAGGGAGCGCCGTGGAGACGCCGGGGACAGCGGGTCGCGCCAGGCAGGTGAGTGCGGCCACCCGGCACCTGCAGCGAGAGAGCCGGCGTCGCGACCCCGCCGTCTCCTGCCAGTTGCGTCCCGTCCCCGTCCTAGGCTCTGCCTCCGCAGCCCTCTGTTCCCGCGCCTCTTTGGTTCTTGACCTCTGCCTCTCTGCCCCGTCTCTGTCTATTTTGATCTGTCCCTGTTTCTCTGTCTGTCCCCCTCTATTTACCGTCTCTCTCTCTCATCTCTCCTGCCTCGGTCTTCTGCTGCGTCGGTCTTTGCCTGTCTCCCAGCCAGTCTTACTATTTGTCTCGCTCCACCTGTCTCGGTCTCGGTCCCTCTCTCCGGGCTGCCTGTCACTTGGGTCTTTGATATGTATCTCTTCCTCTATCTCTCTTGCCCAATATTTCTATCAATCTCATCTTTGCCCACCTCTGTCTCTCCACCCTGGTATCTGCGGGGTATTTCTGTCTCTCCATCTTGGTCCCTCCTCTCAGTCTCTGTTTCTGGCCACCTCTGTCTCTGCTTGTCCCTCTGTCTCATCTCCATCTGTCTCCATATCTCCCCGTCATTTTCTCTCTGTCGGGATCTCGCTCCTCTTTCCCTCCCACCTCCATCTCCCTCTGTCTCTTGGTCTCTGTCGCTCATCTCCATCTGTCTCCATATCTCCCCGTCATTTTCTCTCTGTCGGGATCTCGCTCCTCTCTTTCCCTCCCACCTCCATCTCCCTCTGTCTCTTGGTCTCTGTCGTCCTCTCTGATGTGCTCAGACTCTCCCTGTCCTCAGTCAATGGCCATTGCTGACTCCCTGGGTCTGATCTCTGTCCCTCCTGTTCTTTCTACCTCTCTCTTTCTGTAGATCTCTGGGAAAGCTCTTTCGGCCTCTTTCCTTATGACCCCCCGCACTTCCCTGAATCCATGACCACCTCCTCTTGTGTTGGGTGGGGAGGGCAGCAAGACCCAGCACCCATAATTTCCTCCCCCACAGGCAGCCCTTTTCTCAGGGCACCGCCTGGTACCAGGGCCCCCCCCAGCGGGGGGACTGCGCCTGGAAGCTGTGATGGAGGCCCTGCAGAGGCAGCAGGCAGCTCGGCTGGCCCAGGGAGTGGTGCCATTAGCCCCTCCACACCCACCACTGCCACCAAAGCCTCCCCTTCCTGGCCCCCGGACCCTACAGGTCCCTGAGGGGGCCTTGAGGGAGGTTGGGGCTGAGGAAGAGGAGGATGCCGAAGAGGATGAGGAGGGGGAGGAAGCCGGGGCAGAGGAGGTGGCAGCTGAGGAGAGCCGTCCAGGGGCCCAGGGCCCCAGATCACCTTCCAGCCAGCCCTCTGGACCCCATCCCCATGAGTGGACCTACGAGGAACAGTTCAAGCAGGTAGGACCCCCTCAATGTCAGGCCCTCTCCCCTTCCTAACCTCTGGGCAAAAGTGAGCCAGGTGACTAGTAGCCCACCCATCCCCACTGCCCTCTGCAGGATGGAAAGACAGACAAAGAGACACAGAGACCTAGGGAGAGTCAATGAGAAGACTGGACAATAGATAGTGGCAGGGAGGGAGAGACAAACACCCAGATACACAGAGAAGTGCATAGGGACACACTAAGATGTGCAGGAGACACCCAGAAACATGGAGACTCACACACTGGAAGCCATTGGTGGGGCTGGAAGGGAAAGTGGGAGGGGTGTAGGGACATTTGAGAGAGGAAGATCTGGGGGCTGGGGATTCCAGTGTCAGCACCACTCCACCTACCCTCTCACACAAGTACAAGGTCATATTCCAGTGACCAGTGGCAGTTTCCCAGGCTCTCTACCTCTGTCTTTGGAAGCAGAATAGAGGATGCCACTCCCTTGGCAGGGTGGTACACCCCTCCTCTCTTTCCTGTTGCACCACCCCACTCCCTCCAATCCAAATCTTCTCCCTGACCTGAGTTCCATGGATGACAGTTCCCAGGCTTTGATAGCCACTGCAGCTGCAGTATGGCTAATGGGCCCCTTTGCAACTGGGAATGACAAGACCTTAGTCACAGGGATTTAATTTGAGGTGCTTCCTCCCTGTGGAATCCTTCCGGGTGTTATTCTAAGGACACTACTCCAGGCTGTCACTATGAAGGTGTTACACAGGGTTGTGATTCCAGGTGTGCTATTTTGGTGGTGTTATCCATATGGAGTTGGTCTTGGGTATTTTCCAGAAGTGTTAATCTGTGGTTAGTACAACATGGCAGCATTACTATAAAACTGGGAGTGTTACTCAGGGCTCTGCTACTCTGGAGATGTGGCTCTAGTGACTGATTCTTCTGGGTATAATTCTGGGGATTATTACTTGAAGAGTGTATTATTTGTGGGTATCCATCTAAGACTTAGGGCCCAGTTGTCGTGGGAGTGTGACTCTAAAGATGGATTTCTGGGGGGTTTTACTCATGGGTGTTTTTTTACTCTGAGAGTTCTTATTGGGAGATAGACTGTTACCTATGGGTGTTTCTTGGGGACTATTACTCTGACTGCAGGGACTGTTACAATGACTCCATAACTTTGGAGATTGTTCCTCTTGTGTGGTATTTGGGAGGTGATACTGGAGGTAGAGCTCCAGGTGACTGGGAAGGGGTGGGATGGCCTGTGAGCCCTTCAAGCCCTGACCCCACAGGTCCTGGGTGGCACAGAGTCAGTGCTTCTGTGGTGGCTTCTTGAGTAGGCAGGGTAAGTGCCTCTGGAAGGAGATCAGGAGAGCTGAGGGGCCCCAGGTGTCAGTACAGGAGCTTCTGAGTATCCATTCTGCCTAAGGGATGGGTTAGAGGCATCTCTATCCCTCACCCACCCCCAGCACTGGCACACAGGGATATGAACAGCGTGAACCTCTTGCATGAATAAATAAGAGTGAATGAGCGCCTCAGATATATCTGTCAGTCTCTTCAGTGTGGAACACAGCCCCAGCCTGGCTTCCTTCTTAGGGCTCTCAATGCCCCTTAAAGTGCAGGAAGACTCAGGCCTGGAGGCAGGCTGAGCCTCCCCAGCTCCGTCCTGCTTCCTCTCTTCTCCTACTCCCCAGATGGGTGGCTTGAGCTGCCCAGGACAACATTAACCCATATAGGTCTCTGTGTATAGAAAAAGGAGCCCCTAATTGCCCCCGGGGAGGAGAGAGCCTAATGCCAGAGAGTCCACATTCAGGCCCTACTCACCTCTTCAGCTAAGGTCCCTTGTTCAGGGTACAACCTGAACTGGGGTCCTGGGAGGGAGGGGAGTCAGCGGAGCTGGAGAATGACCCTGATTCTTCCCCAGCTGTACGAGCTCGATGCAGACCCGAAGAGGAAGGAATTTCTGGATGACCTGTTTAGCTTCATGCAGAAGAGGGGTGAGTAGGCTGACATGCGGGAAGGACCCCGGAATTGTCCCAACTTATCAGGTTTAAGGGAGACTTCAGGGTTTAGTCCTCATGAAGAGGCCTGAGCTTGGCAGCACCTGTCCTTTGGGCCCTCAATAGCATCTTTAACCTCTGACCTTGCCCCCCTTGTTCACCCCAGGATTAATTGGTGGCCAGCCCACTGGCAGGTTAATGAGTGTGGGATCAATTGGGAGGGTGGGAGGGAGAACTTGGGGGGGGGCGGCTTGGGATGTGAGGGTCCTGGGACTGGAGGGCTGGGAATGTCTTGGTTCTCTATTGAGGGCCCTTCCACCAGCCTGTCTGTCCTCAGTTTCCCCTTGCTTCAGGCAGGGGACACTCTATGTGCTCTACAGCAGGAAGGACTGCGATTAGACTGAAGGGAGGACTTCCCAAAGGGTAGGCTGGGGACCATGTAAATTGGGGCTGTGGTGGAGGAGAAATTCCTTTCCAGGAATCTCAGAGCTGGAAGAGAATGCAGGAAGGGTCCAGGAGGGCATGAGGGTGGGCGGCAGTCCATCATTTCGGCTTCTCCCCAGATTCATGGGACCTAACACTGACTCATTATCTCTCTCTACAAAGCTAATTAACTCACTCAGAGCGCAGCCTGATAAGCTGCTAATTAACTAGCTGCACTACCCCCTCTTCCTTAGTGCAGCTGCTGGCCCAAGTCCCCCGGCCCCCACCCCCGACCCAGCACCCCTCTGGGGTCCCTTCCTTCCTCAGGACCTTCAGTGGGCTCCAGGTCCTCTCGCTCCCCAGGGAGGCCCAGTCATTCTGGTTTCAGTGTTCCCTTTCTGCCTCCCTCCACTGGGGGTTGGGGGTGTCTGAACAGATCCCAGCATTACCTGTCCCCTTCCTCCCCCCACTTGTGCCTCCCTCCGCTCCCGCTGCTGGGGGAGGGGGTCCCGCAGGGCCGATAATTTCCCCCCATTAATCAGGCCGCAGCTAATTGTTCGGGTCCAAAGGCGGCAGCGGAAGGGGACGGGATCGGTAAGGAATTAACTGGGGCCCATCGCTCAGCGCAGACAGGCCCTTTTGTCAGGACTGGCCAGCGTAGGCGGCGCGGGCTGCGGAGCCGGCGGGCCGAGGCGGGGGCTAATTCCTCTCCCACCCGCCGTCTCCCGACCTCGGGCAGCCACTGGGGGCTGCTGCTTAGGGGAGCCCGGCTCCGTAGCACTGTCCAGAAGTCCTTCCTATGGTCTACTCCAGGGGTCAGCAAACTAAAGCTTGTGGGCCAAATCCAGCCGCCTGCGAGACGAGAATGGCTTTTACATGTTTAAATAGTTGGAAAACATTAAAAGACGAATACCAATTTCAGACGTGTGGAAATCGTATTTCAGAGTCTGTAAATAAAGTTTTGTTGGTACACAGCCATGCCCATTCCTCTATCTTCTATGGCTGCTTTCAGGCTACGATGGCAGGCAGAGTTAATAGTTGCCGCAGAGATCGTTTCGCCCGCAGAGCCTAAAATATTTACCATCTGGCCTTTTACAGAAGTTTGCCAACTCCTGGTCTAGCTTCCTGTCTCTCCTACTAAAATGGAGGCCCTGGGGGTTCTGCCTGTAATCCCACGTCCCATCCCTCCTTCTCTCCCTCCCTCCTCTGGGGCCCTGCCCTGTACGCAGCCCTCCCATAGGCCTCCAACGCCCTCGGTCCCCGGGGATGCCCGCAGAGAGGGTTTTAGTCTCAGTGTCCTGACTCGCTGCCCACTCCCCACCAGGGACGCCAGTGAACCGCGTGCCCATCATGGCGAAGCAGGTGCTGGACCTGTATGCGCTGTTTCGCCTGGTGACGGCCAAGGGCGGCCTGGTGGAAGTCATCAACCGCAAAGTGTGGCGGGAGGTCACGCGGGGCCTCAGCCTGCCCACTACCATCACTTCGGCCGCCTTCACTCTCCGCACCCAGTGAGGCCAGGGGAGTGAGCGGAGCGGAAGGGGCGCGCGGGGCGGGGAGGGGG